TTTTTCTTTTTATTATTTACATTTGATTCTCATATGAATGAGGAAGATGATTATCATTACTATTATTTTGATTTAAGTTGTTGTTATCTAATTTATTGTCGAATATTTCAGTCAATACTGTATTTGAATTATTGATATTATTATCATTATTATCATCATCGTCTTCTTCATTCTCATCATCACTGAGGTTAAGAATACTTCCTCGATGTAAAGCAAGAGTCATTTCACGACTAAATAGATAAGAAAGAAAACTCATTTTCTTTTTTGTTCTTTATTAATTTAATTACCTTTCCATAACATTTTGTATGGGTTCTAAAAATAAACATGAAGAAATCATTTATGAACTTGTTTTTTTTTTTAAAGCTTACTTGAATTTGATTGACGCCTAGATATTATTTCAGGTAATTTCATAAACTTAGGTGTTGCGACTAGCTATTAAAAAAAAATGATTTTTTTTTTTGTTTTTGTTCTTAGTCAATTATTAAAGTTTTACTTGTAAAATAAGTGGAGCAAGACGTTCAACAGTTACCAAATTTTTATTTTTCTAAATAAAATAAAATAATGTGTAATAAGAAAGAAAAAAAAATCAAATTCGAAAAACTTACTCCAATCGAACTATCAGAATTAACTGTATTAGTCGATGATGTTGTTATCAATGTATTATTTACAATAGTTGAAGAAGCCATATTTGGTATATTACTACGTGATGGTATAGTTGATTTTGATGCACTTAGAAACATAAATAATTATATTTTTATTTTGTTCTTTTTTTTTGAGAATAACAAAATATTTACGTAATACTTAATCGAGGAGGATGTTGAATATGAAAATCTATACTTGATTGTCTACGACAATCTAAAATAGCCGTTGCACGTCCAAGAATTTGTTCAGCTTTTTTGCCAAGTTCATCAGGCTAATTGAAACACAAAAATATAATAAAATAAATTCGAAAGAGAAAAAAAAACAAAACAAAACATCTTACCGAAAATCGATGTCCATTCGTCATTGTTGTATTATTTGATGCCGATGAAGATGTATTATTTGTCGTTGTTGAACTTCGTCTATGTGTTGACGATGATGATGATGATCGATGATGGCAATGATTAGTGGTGAAAACCTCAGTTAGCTGTTGCTGTGGGGCAATATCGACCACCATGGCTAAAATAACAATAACATCATATAATGGTCATCATATTTTCAAGGTAGTCAAAAAGGGGAAGACAACGAAGAAGAAAAAAAAAAAAGACTATATGATAGAATAAGAGAAAAATTGCATCGTCTCTTTTACTCTCTTTTTTTCAACTAATCATACGGATAGGAGATGCAGTAGTGTTCGAAATAGAGAGAGAGGGCAGTCAGCCGCCGTACGCGATGTGCGTCAGTTCTCATCGAGCATCACATATAGGGTAAAGAGAGAAAAAAAAGAGAAAGAAAGACATATTCTTCTTGCCTTTCTCTAGCCATTTTGCTTTCCTCTACCTTCTTTCCTCTCGTAATATGTTAGGTGTTGCTGCTGCTGTTATTCGTCGAAAGAATACAGACAACAATCAAACGCACGATTTATGTTGTTGCTGTTGTCGTTATTATATATATATATATACATACATTGTCAAGAAGAGAAGGAGAAAAAAAACGAAGAAGAAGAACAAGAACTATTGTCCATATTTTATCTACTTAATAAGAATTCTATTGAGAATGTCAAAGAAATACAACTAAATGTGTTACTTCCGAAACCTTGAATAAGAAAAGAAAATTAAATGAACACATGTTTAATTTTTGCTTCTAAGTTTTTTGATAGATAATTTACGTATAAAAAAACCCATTTTGATGATATGATAGCTTACTATGAAAAAAGTAACAGTTCAATCTAACAAATAACTATATGAATATATTTATAACCAATGGAAAAAAGAAAGAAAAATCATCCAAGTGAATAGACTATTTGTCAGTGATTAATTATCAAATACAAAAATGTTTTTTATTATTGAGTACAATTGATCTTATAACTAGTTTACAAAGAAACATTTTCAATAAACGTATCTATAATTCACAAGTTCATCGATGAAATAATACAGAATCAATGGTAAAAAAAAAAACTACATGATGCTTAAGAAAAATAAAACATATTGCTACACATCTGTATAAGATAACAATAAAAATGATAAACAGAACAACAGTCTTATTTCGTTCTCACCTCTTTTTCTTCTTGTTCTTTCTTTTTCTAGTCGTTTTGCTAAGAAAGGATAAAGAGACAAAAGGAAAAGAAAAAAAAAAAAGTAGTTTGATTCGCCCATGCGACCCCACCCACTTTATTAAGTATCATGAAAGAATACGTATATGGTTATATGTACACACAATTTTCATATACAGATATACAATGGCGCATCAATACAATATAAAAATAGGAAACAACTTAACGACTTTTCATCTTTCCTTCTCTAATACATAAATAATATTTTTTTAAAAAAAATGATATCAAGACTCTATTGTTGTTTTTTTTTTCTAATAAATTTCTTAATAAAATTTGTCTTAAATTTGTTATTGTTGAATTTTCTTTTAACAAGAGCACTTACATAAAATCTCTTTACCATTTATATTCAATCTTGATTAATTCGATATATATGTCTGGATTTCTGAAAGAATGCGTAAATATATATAAATATATTTATTAAATATATAAATTGTGCTTATTCTTTTCCTTCAGCTCAGTTTTTTTTTTATCGGCATGCAAATCGGTCCTGCACACTTTTACTGTGCTTGTAATGTGTGTGTGTGTGTGTTCTTCTTCTCTCTTCTTTTCGTCATTGTCGCCAACTCGATTTTTTTTCATCAGCTTGTAAACGTTTTCATACGAGAAAGAAAGAAAGAAAGAAAGAAAGAAGACTATGTGCATGAAGTGCATGTACGTCGTATACCCTAATGTCAATATCGCATTTATAGTCGTTCTGTCTTCAGTATTAATAATGATAGAAAAAAAAAAAAAAAGAAAAGATGTCGGAAATCTAAACGAAAATACAAAAACATGTTCTATATGGAAAACTTTGTATATTTGAAGTTTTTGTTTTTGTTTTTTATTTTTAACGAAATCTTATAAACATACCTTTCAAGAAAAATAATATTTATATAATTGATAATAGATCGTATGTGAACATTTATATGTAATATTTACAGAAGAAATTTAAAAAATCAAGCCAAAGATTTCCGGAAAAAAAACAGAAAGAACAATATAACAAAAGTAAAACACACCGTTGACTTGAATAGATTAGATGATATGTGGTATGTGTCTATATGTGTGCGCAAGTGATCTAGAAGAAAGAGAACGAAAAGAATAAAGGTAATCATGCAATGAAACGACAATGTCCTTTCGCAAGAAAAACAAATGACTCAAATATAATTGTGACGAGCTGAATTTCCATATCTTGTGTGAAAAAACTTATTTTTGAGACAATCCAACCATTTAGATGGGTTTTTTTCTTTTCGTTACAATGGGGGGGAAAAAAATAAGTAATCCCACATTAAACGCTATGTGTACGCAATGTATTCTCTATTTGTTAGTAAGGCGATATACTATCTTTTTTTTAAGGGGAGTCCTATATGTCTTATAATAATAGTAGTAATAGTTTAGTGGTGGTTGGTGATAGAAAGGGTTAGAAATGTGCACGTCATCTGGCGGAGATCAATCGAGAAACTACGAAAGAAAGAGAAAGAGAAAGAAAAAAAAAGAAGAGCACAGCTTGTTCGATTACGCGAACGGCCTTATCATAAAATGTCCTTTTATTAGAACGAGACAGGTCATCCTATTCATCCGTAAATGGGTACACTCCGTAAAAGGATCACATAAGAATACGAAATATAATATTTATTCGCATATATCAAAGAAAGACATTGATTTTTCAGCGGAGTCTCGTTTTCTTTTTTTTTCTTCTATTGTTTTCTGTCGATAATCCGCTCAATAAGTTTTGATCAAAGTAATGTCGAGGAAAAATAGACGTAAAAAGAAAAACATCCTCAAGGTTTTCATTTGCTCACTCGCCATCAACTGATTTTTGATAGTGATCGAATGGTATAGGCGCGCGTGTGTACGTGCCCTTCAGTTGATGGTTCACGCATCTTCTTTTCTCGTTTTCTTTTTTTTTTTTTTGTCGTTGTCGTTGATGAAAGAAAAAGTTACGACAACGAATTGTCAATGATCGAGCAAGGACGTCATTATAAAGATACGTCGTCGAAATATCATTCTCAAATAGATACACAAAATAATAAGAGACAGAGAAATAGTTAAAAATAATCACATTTACGTGCTTTATATCAAATATACATATATATATATATAAATAGACAATGAGAAAGGTGATTACAATAGCAAATGATTATGCGGTAGAAAAAAACCGCGATGTTCAAAATAAAAAACTTAACATTAATAAATACTTATAATTCATATCCTTTTTTTAATCGAATAATTCTTTGTCAAAAAGATCTTACTCTAAAAGTAACTTCGTACTTATAATAGAAAATGTCTTGGTGAAATAAGATATTCGTTGATACAAACTACACAAATCTAAAATAAAAGATAAAGTCAAAAAAAAACATCAAAACGAGGTGGGAAACTAATCACGTCATTCGAACAGCTGTGTCTACAGATTTTGTCTTTACTGTCATCAATTGTAAATTTGAAAAGAAAACATATTTTTTTTTTTTTCATATTCGAAGATCATATTTATTCTTTCATGAAATCATTTCATGTATTCTAAACAAATAAAAGACTGCAACGCAACAAATAGTTATTCAACATAAAAGAGCAAGAGAGACAGCTGATTTTCATGTTAATATCCAATCAATATTCTCTTATGTATTTTAAGAAAAACAAATTTCTTATTGGTGAAAATTTGAATCCAATAAAAATAATCGAAATATGAATAAGATGAATCATACATAAATTTTTGTTGCAAAATTTTTTTATATATTATTTAAATATTTTTGTTTTTGTTTTGTCTTTTGGATCAATGACAAATCTCGATTTTTTACGTCAAATTGAAACAGCTGTTCTATCATGTGTATCATCAGATCCAATACGTCGTCAACAAGCATATACATTTGTTGAAGAAATTAAATCAAATCCAACACAATCAGTATCAGTTGGTTTCGAATTTTTTAATAAAAATCAACAATTTGATCCATTAGTTAAACATTTTGGTTTACAATGTATTGAAGAAACAATAAAATATAAATGGACATCACTCGATCCACAATTAAAATTATCGATTAAAGAACGTTTGTGGTTATTAATGACAGAACATGATCAATTACCTGTTCATCTTAAAACGTAGGTATTAGTTTAGTAGATGGGTTACAGTCAATATGTGACAACATTATTAAAGGCGAAGTTCTTCGCTATCAAAAATGTCTTCCATGTTCTGATATTATAATATGAGAAGATAGAAGAGTTTTTTGTAGTTGCGGAACATCAAATTTAATATAAAAGAATAAACAAAAGAAAATTTATTAGAAAGAAAAAAAAAAACAACTTTTTTATGTTTAGAATTTTAGTTCGTTGTGTTTGTGAAATAGCTAAACGTGAATGGCCTCAACAATGGCCATTATTTCTTGATGAACTTGTTGCATTATCAAAATTAAATTCAACAAATGATTATTCATTATTAATATTAGCTTATCTTATTGAAGATGTTATTGTTCTTCAAACATTAAATTCAATACGTAAACGAGATATTCAAACAACATTATTACAACATGGTACTAAACTTCTTGAATTTATTGAATATTTTCTTGATTTACCAAATACAATATCAAGTTCATTATATGCATTAACAATGTTTGCAACATTTCTTCCAATTGATATATTTTTTTCAACAAAAATTATTGATAAAATTGTTTATTTACTTAATTCATCTATACATCGAATGAAAGCAGCTGAATTTTTAAGTGTTATTTCAGATCGTCGAGGAAAATATGAAGAACGTTTACCATTATTACAACTTTTTTCATATTTATTTCAAAATGGTTCACATTATAATGATTTATATACCGTAATAAAAACTCAACAATCAAATGATATATATGATTTTATGAAACAATATGCTATGGTTATAACTGCATTATGTGATCAATTATGTTATTTATGTGGTGGTGAAGATTTAAATAAAAAAACTTCATTACCAGAACAATTTTCAAATGGTAAATTTTTACAAGTATTATTAACATTAATGCAACATCCAAGTATTTATATATCATTATATGGATATCAAATGTGGTTACAATTAATTAAAGCTAATATATTTCAAGATAATGATTATCAAAATATATTACCTATTGTTCTTCGAGCTTTATGTCATTCATTAGTTAAACAACCATATAAGAAAACGGACGTTGAACAAGGTAAGTAGAATGTCATATGAAATAGTTAAGAAAGAAAAATAGATATGTACCTTCTTACGAAAGTATTATCGGGTAAAGTCGATATAATCTAAATGCATTTTGACTTCTGTATACTTTGACCTTGGATAATATGTCAATGATTTTGATTCTTTAGGCTTTTTTTCGTAAAGAAAAAAAAAATAACCTTACTAATATGCTTTGTATTTATCATCTGTATCTATATAATTAACGTCTTGATTATTCTACGTACATTTATCATATTTAATCAAAAAGAAAAGTATACGTTTGCATATATGTATATATATCTAATAAATCGAAATTAATGACGGCTTTTTTGAGCGTAAAACAATATACTTAATATATTAGAAATGTTTTGATAGCTTAGTTTGTTGTAGAAAGATCAAATGGTAACAATAACGAAAATTTTCAACTAAGAATGTGGATGTCGTTTGTAGTTTTTTCTTCCCCGATATTCTCATTCACGCTCATCCTGTAGAAATTAGATTTTTTTTTCAGTATTTTTCTAATTTCGATTTTTTCCCCTTTCGATCCTGCTATGGTCAACAAATACCAACGATTTCACTTGCACTGGGTCAAGAATGGGTTATACAACCCAGGTTGGATTCAACATAGAAAGGCACTATTAAAAGTATAATTCTTTTATCAAAAGAAGTTCTACACAATAAAAGTTCGCAATCACTGTAGTCATTTATCAGAATATTGTATACAGTTTATTATCCTAATGATTATAAGTTGAATGAGATTGGACAAAAAAAAGAGAGCATAAGAATTAAAAGAGCAAGATGCATTTATGAACATTTCAACTGCTTGAAGACTATCATCTATTAAATTAAGCTTTTAAGACTAAAATACTCGCTGATCAATATCAAAGTATCACATCGGTTACTATTTTAAGTTACACTATTTCACAACGGTAACACACATTCCACTCAATGCAGCTAATAATGTACTCGATTATGTATGTAGATAAGAAATGTCATTGAACCGAATAAACACTCGGCTTTTATTTATTAGTTAAATTAAACTTCTGAAACGTTCTCATAATAAAGATTCCTGTTTTTAATCAGTTGTGAAGTGCAACAGCCACCTGTGAAATTTCGAGGAACAATTAGAATTCTATTGTATTCAGCTACTTACCGCTTTCGTCAGTTTGTAATCCACCGATGAGTTACACTTCCTTAGTTAGCCGATGATCAGCAATAATAAGCAAAGATTCTTAGACAACTTTTTCATTTCAGACCAGGAAGCTATCTGCATAGATCATATCAATGAAAGATTCGGAATTCGAAGAATCAATAACGTTACTAGAGTCAATATATTGATAGCATTTATTTGTCGAATTCAAATTTTTTTTTCAATTAAAATTATATATGCAGATGTCTTCATGTAGTCTAATAGGTGAAAATTTTTCTGAGAACCTGTAATTTTTATGAACCACTATTCGTAGAAGTATTCAAGTAAACTCTCAAGATTTTGAAACAATTTAATATGAAGTTCACTTTTTTTCTTCTTCGTGTTTGAACTACAGGTCCTGGAAAAATATTTTCAGAAACCCTATATCATTAAATCACGTTCAATATGTTAATATTTATTCTGAAAACCTTGGTAAAGTCATACATATTTTATCTATGACTTTTTCCTTTTTATTTTCTTAATCATGAAAAAATATTACTTCTTTCTAATTTACTAAAATATACTTCCGGACAAAAGTAGGCGTTTGCGCATGACGTGATACTATTCTTTGTGATATTGAACTGATATTTTAGATGCATTAAACGACAATAAGTCCTACTCAAAGGTACCAACCAAGTTCACATGTATTTGAATTATGATTCACATATGTAATTTTCTCTGGGAACAATATATTCAACGCAAATATTCAATTAAAAAGTTTTTGATTGTTATTTTGCTATTCAACAAACTACTACTGTTTTTTCTAGAGCTAAAAACAATGCTATGTGTCTGATTTTTTATCACTAAAGGTGGTGACACATAGTCAAGAAACTAATAATTAACACGTTCTGATACAATGAACCCATGTCGTAGCACTAACTCGACTTCATTCAGTTCTGTAGACTCAAAGAATTCCAGAACAGACCTGACATCTCACAGGAAATTTTCTACTAAAGTTTTCAAAAGATTTGATCAAAGTCATAAAGAAAACGATTCATCTTACAGAAAACCAATATTCGCTCTTCAACAAGCATTTTTAGTGAGAAGACAACATCTTATGAGCGAAGCTCTTCAAGTATCAAATTACTTTTTCACTGAAACAACTTTCATTTGATGAGTAATAGACAAGTTTAGAACGGCTTGATTTCTATGACTTTCGTTCTCAAGACATTAAAATTTCACTGAATTTTTCAAAAAAAAAGTGGTAAAAGTTGATTGTGCATATTTTAGCTTTTATAGTATTTCCTTCTAGAAATGTAAATGTATGATTAACATTTGTTTTTATGAATGGGAGAATTTCGAATATTAAATATCTTATGATATGAGATACTATAAAAGTCACAGCTTGTCCAATGAATTAATCTCATTGAGAACTTTGTTCGTGTAATGCTTAGAAGTAAAAACTCGAAAGTCGATTTTTCATGTGACCTTTCCCGAAAAACCGATTTCACACATGCAAACATTCCTTGGTCAGTTATTTTTAAGTGATTTATAATTAAGTTTGGACTACAAATTCCTAAGATAGTAACTTTTCGAATGAGACGTTGAAGAAAATTATTTGTGCCAACATGAGTTCAGATAAAATGATCATAAGAACAAGAGAATGTCTAAGTCATAACTTGAATGCGGACGAGTTGCCTCTTACGATCAGAGTTTATTGTCAAATTCGAGCATTCAAAATATCAGCTTAACATCATAAAGAATAGTAGAATTTCATGTAAAATGGCTAATATTAATCAGAACTGTAAATACATTCTTTATAAAAATTCATAATTTCATATTTTAATAGATATTGCATCGTATTATATTCATCATGATTTTGAGGATGAATCGGATTATCAGAAGTTTATCGGTAAAAATCGTGCTATTCTAATTCGATCAATTAATAGTATATGTAAAACAAGTGAAAATTTATCCATAGCAATACGTATTGGTTTTGATTATGCTGATTATTGTTTTCAATCAGTAAATATTCAAAATCTTCTTCTTTTCGAATCACTTGTTGCTTACTGGCAAATCATAGAAAAACATTTACGATCATTATTAAAACCAATTGAATCATTTAATAATTCAAAATTACTTTCAAATACAGATGAAATATCATTTTGTCAACATGGTCAAAGATTAATTGAACAATTATTATTAATAAATAGTGATAATAATCTTGAATTTTTGGCTTATTCATTACGTCTATTAACAAATTTATATGTCTTTACACGTGGTGAAAATACATGGACACAACGTATACTTGAACATTTATTTCGTACAATAACAACTGAACGACATATAGTATCAAAATTAAATCCATTACAAAAACAAGCTAGTTGTTTAATTGATCTTTGTTTAAATTATGGTCATTCAATATTTATTTATTTTAATGATTTATTTAAAGTAACACAAGATTTAGTTCGACAACAAACATCATCAGAACAACAAACTAAACTTGCTGGTTGGCAATGGAGTGTATTAGTTGAATGTTTAGCTATATTATTGAATCATTTTGATTCATTTCAACAACAAGCTATTTTTATTAATGAACTTGTTCAACCTTTTGCACAAATATTGAATAACTTTAATTCAAATGTGAATGATTTACAAAGTTTTATTGATTATATTGGAATAAAAACAACACCCGATGGTAAAAAAAAATTGTTTTAACTTCTTTGAATTGTTTCATATGAGCATTTTTAAAGCAGTTGATTATACACAAATCAATTCGTGATAGTCCTGGAAAAAGCAGAACTCGTTGAGTTTACTCAACAAAATCGAAAATGCTTGATTTAACAAGACGCTCTTCTCCTACACACTTGTTTTCCAAGTTCTTCAATAGTCATAGATACAAAATTCGAGAAGAGTTAATTCTAAGTTCGAAAGCTGAGCTTTCGATATATTAACACTCAAAAATTACGAAGAACGCTTTTTTTACGTTATTATTCCATATAAAACTAATGTTATGAATTGCTAATCTTCAGAAATTGAACCAGTCTGAGTAAGTCAATTAGCTGGACGAGCTCTGCTTATGAAGACTATTAAAAATTCATTTGTTGCTGTTCATCGATAATCGCATGTTTACAGATCAGAGATGCTCGTGGGGTAACGCCCCAAATGGGGATGGGACGATACTTCGTCCCATCATGTCCCCTCAATGTGTTCAATTTTCGCTGATACGATTCCCCACGTATGGTCTGGACCATGGAGTGATAATATTTTTTACCCCATGGTCTAAGTTTAAATTTCACAATTCATGGAAAAGCTTGAAAATAAAGACGACGAGATTGTTGAGATTTTCTTATTGCCTAATTAGTGACACTGCATTTTACTTTTGCATTTTACATATATACATAAACCCATTTCACTACTGGACGAAGAAATCGATTGGATGTTGCTCAATTAGATAATGTATTACTTGCTTGTGCAATGAGAAATGCAAATACAAATGAAGTAAGATGATGTTATTGTGGTCTTAATAAACAATTCAAGTAGAAGTTTCGTTTTTTCTCTTTTGAATTTCAGTCATGTCTTTTCTGTTGTACATAATTGTCTCTCTCTGTATATCTTACTCAAGTAAATATGTGAAATGAATTTCAAGAAAATTACAATGATTGTTTGATGAAAACAACTTGCTTATTTTTTTTATGAAATATGAGAAATGTTTTGTTATGAAATTTCTGTTTATAACCTTTTCTTTTATTGTGCATTTGTTAATAGTGTTTATTGTTTTCTCCGTTGTGCTCATATTTTTTTTGGAAAAGCAAATAATCTTTTCTTTGTGTTTCTCCATGTGCCCTACCCATGAGGCCCATGGTCGGAGGTAAACTGAATTTCAAAAACTCAGTCTCTCCATCGATAAGGAAGGTCACAAAACTAACAACTGACTGTAGGGACACCCTATCCATGGGAAACCCATGAGCCCCATGGGGCGACACAAACTATGACATAAGCATCTCTGTTACAGATGCTTGTTTTGTATTATCTTAAGATGTTACGATTGATACCCATATGAAATTAGATATTTAAGGAATAAGTCGAGCGATTTAGTATACTCTATTGATAAGAACATATTCAAGAAATTCAAATCCTCGACAAAAATAATTAATTCAGATACAATAATTTTCCTTATATGATCAATCAATTTTCATCCAAATTTTTGGTTAATAGATGGTCCACTATTGTATTTGAATCATAAACATAAACAATTTGTCTTGTTTTCGATCATATGTTAAGCAGTTTCCTTCATCGTATAGCTTCTCTATAAGTGATCAGTTTCAAATTTTTCAAAATGTTCATCCTTTTACTTTGCTTATTTATAGCAACATCTACAAGTAATCAACGTCTAATTTTTCTCAGTGTTCATATTCTTTGTGGTTTTTTACGTCGTATAACTCTCCCAAATGATCCTTCAATATGTTCTAATGGTGGTTATCAAGAAACTTTCGATGGAATTATTTTTATTCGTAATCCAGCTTCACCTGCTTTTATTCAATTAACTCATTGTTTATTTAAATTATTAACTTATTGTCATGCATTACATTCTCCTAATTCTCCATTATCACAATCTTCATTTTCATTTCTATCAACAATGACTGATGCAGAAAAAGCTGTTTATCTTCAACAACAAGATAATAATGATGACATTAATATATCATCAATGCCAACAAATTCATTAAGTTTATCAATAAATGATCGTCGTTTACATAATCGTTTTTCATCATTTCTTGATCGTTTAGAAATTTTAATTGGAATTTATTTAACATTAAAACCTGATTTATATAAATTAAATGATTCATTAAATATAATTGGTACAACTTTATTTTCATCACTTGATCATTTACCTAATTTTCGTTTACGAAATATAATTCGTTATTGTTTTTTACCATTTGTTCGACATTGTCCTATTAGTACAATGATTATTGCTATATTTGAATCATTACTTCCATTTATGTATACAAAATTAAAAGATAAATGGAAAATAATTACTGAAAGACAAAGTATTAAAGTAACTAATGGAAGTGTTCATGAAAATAATGATGATCATTATCAAACACAAGATCGATGTGAAGAAGAAGTTATCGAAGAACAAGTAAGAAAACTGAGTTTTGCTACTGTTTGGAAGTCACATGTCTACAAGCCTCGAACGAACCAAAGTCAATGTCTATCGTAAAGATGAAATCATATTTTCAAATCTCATATCTATCTAATGCCAATATCAATTATTTCGATGATTAGTTTTTCAAAGAGTAGTTCTTGTCAATGTAGAAAGAGACAAAATAACAAATGAAACTAACGACTGAAATTAAATTGAGCGGATTTATTTTTATGTTTAAAAAAAAACGGTTTTGATCTAAAGTGAAATCAAATTCGTTTTATACGATTGATATTATTCTTAGTTCAACAATGTAACATTGTTATTCAAGAGTAAGCATATCGTATTAAATTAACCGTTATGCCTTGGTATTATTTGCATTAAAATAAATTAATACCAAATGATTGACATGAAGTTAAGATGATTTTTAATTCTTATACATAGATTATCCATGACTAGATCTCGGACATTCTAAACTTAGAAGTTCTCAAAACCAAAAAATTTTTGTTCTGTCTTGAGAATGGCACTTCCGAATATAGAAAACTTTCTTTCTGTTATTAGATACTTCTGTTTAGGAGAGACAAATATTTCCAAGGATGAGATATACAAATGCAACTATACATAGAAAGATCTTATCTACAAAATTTAACATAGTTGCAACATATTACAAAAAAATCTGACTACTGAGATTTTTCGCAAACTATTCTAACTTTGGTGAAAAAAATTTTATGTGAGTCGGATAAGTACCTTTGATCATATGATTTCCAAATATTCCTTTTTAGAGTTTACTAAAAAAATTTGTATATTAGTTTGATCTTCATAGTTGAAGCAACAAATGTTTGCTTTTTTTCTTAAGATTTATTTTCAAGTCTCTCATGAGTATAGAATTCGATATTTTTATCAACAATAAACCTATTCTCATTATTAAGAGAATAATATCAGTCGATTCATATAAGCCGATAGCAAATTCAAATTTTTATTCTTCTCGATAAAACAAAATCTATCTCAACGAGTTGCATGAAATTTGATCTACTTATTTAGTATAAATTCATATAAATACACAATATAAAACAAAAACACGTTTCTAATTGATCGTTTAATTCAACATAAATTTACTAATAATTTCTTCTTAATAGGTAACATGTTATTTAACTCGTGATTTTATTGATGTAATCAAAAATCTATTAGCATCTCAAAGCAATACCAGTGATCATACAAACCAATTAATTAATAGTAATGATATCGATGAAACAAGTATGGATGAAATGATGACTACAGATGAACAAAATATTGGTGATGTTCCTTCACGTAAATCAACAATACAATCTCGTTATCAACAAATACCAAGTGAATTTAGTTTAAAAATTTTACAAGATTCATCAATAATATGTCAATACTGTTTATTAATTCTTTTCGATGGACTTTCATGGCCAGATACATCATCAATAACAAAAATGTCACATATATGTCAATCATTAATTAAACATCTTTCAATATTAATAAATGGTAATAATGATTTTTTAAGACAACTTTATATCTATATATTATGTGCACTTAAAATCCATGGTGATAATGAACCAATTGTTTGTACATTACTTTCATTAGCTGTATTAATGTATGATACATTTCAACAAACATCATCAAATTTATTTGATAGTGTTCTTATGGAAATACCTGATGTTACAAATGAACAAGTAAATAATTATCGTGATAAAATGCAACGACAAATCAATGGTAAACCATTAAGTGATAAACAAAAACGAGATATGTTAAAACAATTAGTACAACCATTAATGGGTCAAAATGTTGCACAAATGTTTAAACGTGAACCATTAGCACTCAATAATTTACCACCATTAATACGTTTTTCCAAACGTTCACTTCATCCGGTTTTACAACATCAACAACAATTAAATACAGATAATGACGAGGATCATGGATTAGCTAATCTATTTCAACATACTGATGACTAGTCAGATCTGATGTTTCATTCGGTGTTTTCTTTTTCTTTTTTTCTTTTTGTATAAGTGCATCGTGAATAGTACGAATGATTATGTGCTACATCTTTCTGTTTTTTTCTTTTTTTTCATTCACTATAGTATACTTTATTGCTCATTATGGATCGAAGAATAAAACATTCCTAATCAAGATCGATTAGATTTTTTTTCATTGAAAATTATTTTCGAATGAAAACTAACTTCATTCGAAGCAAATTAAACTAATCATTTTCAAAATGATGATGAGAGTTTTTTTTTTAATTTATAGATGACAAATATTTCTACTCAAAAACCCGACTCATTATCACAAGATACAAATCGGTAAAATGATTTGTTTATATTTAATATCTATTTCGAATTAAAATAATTCAGACAATCATTGTTTCTTGACTAACTATCAAGGTGTTTATCTTTTTAGTTAAGAAGAGCAGACATATTTGTTTCAAATGAATGTCTTAACAGCCAAATTAATAAATTTAAAATATATATTGCATTGAACGTGCACTGACCGAGATATATCTTAGATGCTAGTAATGCAAAATCTCAGTTGAGTTTTATCATGATGGTTAGAGAGAACTGCTCATCTAGTTGCATAAGAAAAAGTATGTTTCAAATCAATCAAAATAAAAACATTTTACAGAAGTTAGAAATTTGGGACTATTTTTTCCTGAGGCAACTCAGTAGTTTCAAGCTAGAGAAGACTATTTCAAATTTTATTCATATCAGATCATCGATATTTAATTATAGTCTTTAGTTCCATTCGAAACAATATTTTTTTCTCGTAGTTCTGACCTCATACATCTCTTGCTGTACCCAATTGTCATGAGAACAAGTTCAGCTGACATATTGATTTGGGAGCACCTTACATATATTTTCGATTCATGCACGTCAAGAGCAGTTTATATTTTAACTTTATTAGCTTAGAAGTGAGAGCTTTAATTTGACACACATATATCTCGTCTTATTAACTAATAACATAAACATTTCCGTTGGAAGAGGAGTAAGATATAGTTTTTTGATTTTCCTCATTAAAAAACAAAGTGCTAAAGATACGAAGAAAGAAATTTCGAAAATTTTAAGCAGATAATTGTAACGTCTCTTTTACTAAATTTTATCAAATAATAATAATCGCAATGTTTATCTATCATCTAATTTGAAATACGTAGGAGTTCCAATAATGATATTTCATCTCGACAAACTGATTCAATATCATCAAGTTTTCATTCACGTTATTGGATATTTTTATTTGATAATTTAAAACGATCTATTGAACAAATCTATCAAACATGTGAATCCGATCAAAATCCATTACAATGTCAAGTATGAATGATTTTAATTGTTGTTTTGTTTTTTTTTTGTTACGTTACAAATATTTATTTACATTTAGGAAGTTACAGAACTTCTCTGTCAATATTGTAAAAATTTTGAAATTCTCATGAAAAAATTTCAACATATACAAAATCTTGATAATAAAATCGACGAAATGAAAAGGTGAAAAATTTGAAATTAAAATAAAAAAATTTGTTTTTTTCTCGATATTCAACATTTTCAGAAACTATCTTAGTCAATCGTTAATTACATTACCATTTGAAACAGATATATTACCTCTCAGGTTGTTAAAATGATATATGCTCTCATATCTGCTTGTTCGCCTGATTCTTTTTATGAGTTTTAACAAGCTAAAACTCTAAATATTTTTCAAATTAAATAACTTTTTTATTGTTCTTTTTTCAGGCCATTTGAGCATTCTCAGTCAATATGTAATGGTAATTTAACAAAAAAAAAAAGATTCAATTATGAAATATGTTTGTTTTGTTTTTTCTATTTTTTTATTTAAATTAGATGAAATATTTTGTTCAGATGATTTATTACGTCGACAAAAACGTTTACATAACAGTGATATAAATTTAAATGTAAATAAAACTTTCTATCATTATTTAATGGATACAAATAAATTTAAACGACAAAAATCTAACAAATATCGTAAATCAACAGGAAGTTCAAGTTTACTTTCATTACCATCATCATTTTCATCAACAACATTAACAAATGATTCATCAATGACATTAATTACAAGTACAAATCAATTATTATTACCATCAAAACAAATGTTAACTGAAGAAACAGCAGGTGATGCTGATGATGAAAAAGATATTCGAGATGAAACAGTTAATACTAATCGTCCTCATCGATATTATCATCAATTATCAACAACATCACATTATCGTCTTAATCAACAAAATTTAACATCAGAAGATGATGATGAAGAACTTCTCTTAAGAAATCATCGTGGAATGATTGATTTCATGGATCGAGTAAGTTTTAATTAAAATCAATGTTTAAATAATTTTCTTTTTTTAGCAAATATTTGATGCATTTGATCAAGAAGAATCATTAGCTGAAGCATTAGAAGCTGAACAAGAACGAACAATAGCTTCATTAATGGCTGAACAAGAAGATCTTGAACATCAATTGAATAATGTTAGTGATGATGATTTTTTATTAGGTGGTGATGATGGATCAGAATTAGAAGAAAGTGAATTATCGGTAATTAAAATTTTCAAACAAAGAAATAAATAGATGTTGCATAATAAACGACCGATTTTTACTCTTAATCTTTATAGTATATGATATAGTTTATTTAAAATTAAAATATATCATAGACTACAGAATAGCTAATAGTAGAACCTGCATCAAAAATGTCTTTAATACTGATAATATTCTACTTGATCGATTTTTAACGCTGCGAAGGAGAACATTTTTTGGTGCATGAGTAAAACCTGTTATTATTTCATCAATTAATTTCACATAATATTCCAAACTGTTGAAGTACACATTATTAAGGGATCATTTATTTTCATTGATGAATTAAGTCAAGTTGTTCTTAATGCATGTTTCTTAGGTTTATCATTATATATCATCGTCAATTACTATAAACGATAGTTTTGATGCCGTTATCGTACGACCAGTATTACTGGCCATATATAGCCTTGCGTTGTCTTGTTGATAGATAAAATCATCACCTAACAGTCATTAACCTTCAGCTTGTGCATGTAAAAGAACAACTGCAATCTAATTTTTATGTTAATGTTTCACCGAAGTCTCATTATAAGCGCAACTATAAGATCATCTTTTGATTCGACAGGAAGCATAAACACGGTCATTCTGATGATGAAATATACCATCCAATTCAAAATATTTTTAATCAGTAAACTTCGTTTGGTTTCTTCATGTATAAATATTGCTATTGTTTTACTGTACATTTGTTGATCACCTTTCGTAACTGTTTAACACTTTGTAGCGATGATATGCCATCATCAGTTATTCGTACTATCACTTATAGAATTGATACGTTGTAATCGTATAACTCTTGAGTTGTCCAAATACATATTGTAAGGATACGTCAAAAAGATGAGTTAAATGTATATATGTTGAATGTTGCAAAGATCGGCCATGTATTATGCGGCACCCATTATTTCATTAAATAGTTTATTTTTTCTTGTATTATCTAGACAACAAAAACATCAAGTTATTTTATGTCACTACACGATGATGGTGATGAGAAAGATATAAGTCCAAATGATCTATCACGTGAAGATAATGATTCTGAACCTGATGGAAAATCTCGAACAAAACTTCTTCGTATACAGGAAAAATTATCATCACCTTCACGTATTCGGTATTGTTCTATATCTATTACATCATCACATTGATCTAATGATTTTGAATTATTTAGACCTCTCAGTGAAACTCTTCGTGAAGCAGCTGAACGACAAGGTATCTAAAAGCTAAATCTTTTTTCTTTTCAGAAAACCTAATATCATTTATTTAGCACGAGCATTTACACGACGTCAAACTTTACGAGATGAGAAAGCAAGAAAAATGCGTGAATTAACTCATCGAGTAAAACCAAAAAAAAACAAACAAACTATAGTTTATCAAATTGTTTTATTCTATGAATTTGTTTCTCATTTTCAGGTCAATGAAGTTCGTCAGTGGAAAGAAGAATTAATCAAAGCACGTAAAACAACTATTGAAATGAAAATGCACCGAGCAGAAGAAAAACGTCAATATTTATTGTTTTTAAAAGCTAAAAAAGCTGGTGATGAAGATTTAAAAGGACAAGAAATAGCTTTTATTAAATTGTTACAACAAGAAAATCGTCGACAAACATTAAAAGAACGTTATCAAAAAGAAGAACAATTCAAACAATTTCTTGAAGAAGAACGTGTTAAAAAACATGATGAACATAAACAACGTGAATTAGCAGCAGAAAATCGTCGAAAAGAATTAGAAGCTATACGACAAACACGTCTTAATGAAATGCAAGAAAAATGGAAAACGAAAGAAAGAATGATTGAACAACATTTAATTGAAAAACGCAAACAAAAACAAACAGCAGCTATTGCTAAACAAAAGTAAATTTAGAGTTTCCTACAATCAATTGATCTCAAGGAAATACCATTGTAAAACTTGAAAATTATATATGAATAGACGAAAGTCTTTGTTCTATCCAATCTCAGTCGCCATCAGTATCAGATATCTGAAAACTTTATCGACATATTCTCGGCTAAGAATGTTGATCAGCGACAAAGTTCTATCTCAATAACATAAGAACAACGAGAATTATTCTGGACGATGATTGATAACATCTATCACTTCTTTGAACTTTATAACTTTTAAAAATAATAGTTTTTTTTAAGTCATCGATACCGTATTATCTAATGCTATGCTTCAATTGTCTTCTTATAAAAATTCGTGAGTTCTTTCTAGAATGTATCCCGTTAAGTCCTAGTTCGAAACTAAAAGTTCTCTGTTAACTGGATTCGAAAATGTTGAACATGGTGGATTCTATTTTGAAGAACTTCTTCTATGGCTAAACATTACCATCCATAAGTTTCGGATACAAATCTTTTAATGAATAGAAATACTAGAACTATAATAATTGTGTTGATCGAGATATCTTCTTGATAATAATTAAACCACTTATAACTATATTCAGAATCATAGAAATACAATATTTACATTTGTATTTAGGAGTTTTCAACAAAAACGAGCTGAGCATGTCGCTTATCTTAAAGCGTCAACTGTTGAATTAAAGAAAAAATTGGCATTAAAAGTTTGATTCTTTGTTACTTTATTGAAGAATGTATATTCGTTTTTATTGTTTATAGCAAGAGGAAAGTGCTCGACGACATATAACACAACTCGAAGAAATCCGTCGAAAAGCAATGGAAATGGCTACATTTCGTGGTCCAAGTGCTGAAGATCATCATCATAATCATCATGTACTTTCTGCATCAAATGATAGTAAAGCAACAACATCAACAATGAATATTCCTGCAAGTGAAGAACCAATACCAACACGAAAATTGTGTACACTTTGTAATCTTTTGGTCAGTTTGTTCTTTTTTTGTTATTCTCGAACAATATATTGGAATGTGGATGAAATCATTTACTCTTATAGTTAGCTTCTGATCTTCATTTGCAAACACATTTACGTGGTACACGTCATAATCAATTGTTAATCGAACGATTCAATCAAAAGAATGACAATGGAACAAAAAAACAACCAAAACAAGAAGATATTGTATACAGATTGTATGCTCATGTTTTTTTTGAATTAAAATCGGTTATTTTATAGGATACATTTAATGTTGAATGTATAACCATTGTTACCAATGATGATATTGTACGACAAGAAATGGCTTATAATCGAGAACGAAAACATGCAATGAAAAAACGAGCAAAAAAATTACGTCTTCGAATGACTCAACGGTAAAATAGATTAAATAGAAAACAAATCATATTTGATATTTTTCTTTCTAGTTCGGTAGCCTATGAAGCTGAAAATGCTCAACGACCTTTTTTGACATCAACTCATAAAGCACGGTAAGCAGAAAAGCGATTTAAAATATTGAAATAATTTATTCATGTTTAATTTATCTTTTTTTTTTTTAGTATTCAACGATTTTTAAATGAATTAGAAAAATCATTAAATACAACAGCAAGAAAAGAACCATTGAATACAACGAATTATTTATCATGTCAACGAATTCTTACTGAATTTGTTAAAATTTTCGATACACACGGTTATGAAAAGGTTTTATATATATATATGCTTTTGAAGAATATTCATAAATTAATTTAATTAATTATGTAGGATTCACCACTTGAACAACGTGTTTTTTTCAGTCTAAATGGTTATACAACATTAACTAGAATGATTGAATTACGTGCAGAATGTAATAAACTAGCTCTTGCACCGGAAAAGTATTCTAATTTATAACATGAAATATTTTAATCTATTAGATAAATTTAGTCTCATCGCATTGACCATATCAGTTTATCGAGCAGCAACAAATAATAATCTTGATAATGCAATGTATGTATTGAATAGTGGCAAAATTTTAACACTTGTCGAAAGTTTAGTTCGACATTTAACGGTAAGTAATAATTATAGTGATGTATAAGAAATTAAATTTATCCCATTTTATTTTACGACTTTTCAAGCTATTATGACTTTCATGAATTTTATTCTCTTTAGTTCTTTTATAATATGAGTGAAATAGAAATTCTGCCACACCTACATTCTAAAGTGACTAAGGGAAAATAATATATATCTGATATATAGAATTAGATTTATCCTTTCTATGATTTAAATTGTGAGCGAAATATGAGTATAGATATGTAAAAATGGGATAAATTAAATTTCTTGTGGAGCTATGAAATAGTTTTGTATATTTCAGGGTTTAAAAATTGATGATTTAACAACATCACATATTGATCAAAGTGAAAGTGAAAAATTAGCTCAGATTGATTTAGTAACTAATCTAGCTGAATTACTTGCTGATCTTCTTACAATGTATAATTCAATAGCAAGAGATATTCGAAAACATGAAAATGAAACTAATGAAGATAAATTAACAATAAGTCGTTTAACTGATTTTATTAGGTAAAAATAAAAATAAAACTTTACTTCAAAATAAATTTCTATTATTTTTGTTTTTTGTATTCTTATTTTATAAGTTATATGGCTAATGTTGGTGTTCTTGATCGCATAGCATCATTTTTTCGTACAGCTCGAGCTATTGTTAATACAACAAAATCACGTGTACCTGATATGATTATTCATTTACTTAATCTTTTACAACAAATGGTTAATTTTTCTAAGCCAAAGTAGCATCTTCTTTTTCTTTGGTTTCTTTTTTTCACATGTATTAAAGAAAAATATTTCATATTTCTAATTAGAGTATGTCAAGTGCCATTTGGTCAATCATCAAAAAAATCAACGAATGATTCAGCACAAGTATTAAATATAATGAAATCAACAAATTTTTGTGAAATACTTTCATTAATCTATGGTATTCTTATTCATGAAACTGATAATAATAGTAATAATCAAATGAATACTGATAATAATAGTACGATAACTGTACATGAAAAAACATTTATTATTGTAATTAATTCAATGATTCTATTGAATACACTTGCAATACTTGACCTTGATGCATTTCAAGTTAGAAAAAAAAATACATATTTTTGAATTTTTTATTTTGAAAAGTTCATATCGATTTTAGACAACTCTTGGTGAAGAAACAATCTCACTTCAACTTCGACATGTTGCAAATTATATTCTTGCTTATTGTAATCATCAACAAACAACAATGAATGATAATCTTCTACGTCAAATTATTCTTCTTATCGGTTATTATTGTGTTTTAAATCAAGATAATCAAGTTAGTTTGTTTTTGTTTGATTTTATTTCAAATATTTGTAGAACTAATTTATTTCAAAACCAAAAAACAAAAAAATTTCGTTTTCTTTTTTTAGTGTCGTTTAGCTTTTGGTAATCGACCAACTGTATTACAACAATTATCATGTTTACCATTTCGTTATTTTGTTGAATCAAAATATATGGATATACTTTTTCCAACATTAATTGCTTGTTCATTTGATTGTGAAACAACACGAGCAATTCTTCAAACTGAAATGTCACTTGATCTTGTTGGAAATTACATTCAAGTAAGTTTGTTTTTATAAAGATTTGTTTTATTTTGTTTTACTTTTTTTTTTCAAATAGACAAAAATGACGGAAACAACGACGATTAATGAAGACGACAGTAAATTGATATGAATAAAAATATTAAATTTTTTTTTTGTTCTCCTTCTTGTTTTAGTTATTTCTGCTTTTCATATGAGATTTCCACGTGATGAATTGAATGATGCTTTGAAATACTATCAATCAAAACCGAAGATTACAACAAATCAAAATCAAATCGAGCCTCATGAATCAATTACTAGCAAGAAGCAAAGTGATGAACAAAAAGAAAATGAATCTCCTCCCGATAATAATGACATCAAATCTTAAAAGAATGATTGCATTTTTGTTTTTCAAATTTTCCTGGTTAAATATTGAACATTAACATGTGAATTATACATATACATATATACATATTTATGGTACAAATATTTTTTTTTATGTTCACGTGTGTGTTTTTCGTTTGGTGGCCATCAAACAAGAAATATTCAATGTACGTTAATTCCATTTTTTTTTGTGTAATGTATAAACAACCTTCCAAGTATTTCTCACCGAGTAAAGATGAAAAATACTTTTTCCCGTCATTGTTACTCCTTGGTTTTTTCCTAGTTTCTTCACTTTTGTAATAAATTTGACACATTATTTTTTTCTCTTTTCATGCATAAAATAAATGATTGATATTCGTTATTACAAAAGTAAGAATGAATATATTCACGTAAATCACACAATTAAACCCACGCTCGACTCGGATTATTAAATCTATTAATGTTTTTATTGCTGACGTAGATCGATAACAGTTCAAACAATACTCGATTACTATGATCAAACGTGATAATGGTTGCAAAATTTTGTTATTCTCTCAATTTTATTCAAACTATATTATATGACTATTGAAAGGAAAAAATACTTTTTTCCTCAATAACAAAATACAAATTTGCATTAACGACTATTTCTGATGGTTGTGTTGAATATATCGAATAGATCATAATGAAACAGGACGATAAATTATTATTTGTTTACATGAAAGTATTATATGATGTAATAGGATTCGATTTGAACTATACCTATCATCTAAAACAGTACTATTTCGATGAAATAAAATTATTGTGAAATTCCCTGTCAACTATTATAAGGATGGCTTGAAATGCCTTTTTTTCAAATGTATTTTTACCTGTAAGCTTTTCTGTCCGTTTATCCATATTACTTATTTTACTACGTGTACACCATTCTAATGCGCCATTCTTACTGATCTATTTCTCAAAGTATCCAAAGATTTCAGGAAAGTGATATGATAATCAGTATAACAAAAGTCAAGGCATAGTTGACATACTCAAGTGGTCTGTTGTAGTCGAACGCAAGTTTTAAATAAATATTAATCAAAATGATGAAGCATTTTTATATCGACTATTGTCGATAGTGGATAATCTGAAATTGTATTATGTAGTTTATGTTAACCAGGTTGTATAATAGAATATTTCTAATAAAAAATGCACATTGACATTCACGGTATCTTTCTTAGATAAATTTTCTCTAAACTCTTCTTGTCTTTTTTCTTAATCAATCTGAGTTTCTTTTGGTAGAACTCAACATTTCTAAAAAGCATATGTAAGTATAGCATTTGTCTCGATGAGTACAATTGATCAGATAATTTTGGACATTGTAGTTCAATATATAATCTTCATTAACGAAGATTGATATAACTGACATGAAACATTTTGTACAGGTATTTGAAATTTGTTGCGAATAAGTTTGGATAATGACAAATTAGATGAGTTGAATCTCTTCAAAAAAAAAATATATAAGTTTTCATAATTCACTGTTACCAAACATTCTCTTTCTATTTGTTTTGCACAAAGTAGGCTAAGCGGGTTTCATGCCATGGCATCATCAAGGTGGGTGATGATCTATAATTCATTCTGACAAAATGAGGCATCAAACAAACAAATAACAGTTGGCCATTCTTCAGCTCTATGTGCCGATTCTTTAAACATATGATGTAGCATATTAATACGTCTCATTGGTTGAAACCATTCCCTCTCTTCTGAATACATACATATTTATGTTTTGCTCTCACTGTACGCCGGCTGCCTCTGCACAATGTGTAGACCTCTATGTCAGTTGTATTAGAAACGTTCTTGGATGCTAAATTGCCTGTATCTTTGGCTACCTACTGCACTGAAGGATATCAGTGTGCTTGCCACTTAAAGCGATGATTTAGTGCATTTACAAGCAAGTGCATGTCATTTATATTAAACAAGACATATTTTAACACGTCAAAGGATCAAAGACAACAGTAGTAAATGTGCTTAGACTGACTCAGCAAATATTACATCGAACAACACGACTACTATGGTGTCTGTTCACGTCACGTTGATTATTAAGACTTAAACTAGCTAAAATATTTATTTCAAGTCAGAGCAAACTATCCAGATAATGAATATGATGTATATTAATGTTGAATAATGAAAAACCAAAAGCCAGTATAAGAAAAAGAATGAATCGTGTGAAAAAAATATTTTCATTGTTCAAGATCTTCTTTGTTTGTGGCGGTTTACATGTTTAAACCAAATTGTTGTCTGCACGAAAAGAAAGATATGGAATGATTTTAAAATAAAGTATTTGAACAGTTCTCTGCAAATGGGTTTCCTTGTACATTACTCTGTTTGTATATGAAGGCTGCACGAATATAAGTTCAAATCGTACTCTGCGAAGAATATGGGCCCCCAACTTAGAATTTGATATTTTATAATCATGTACAGTGGGAAAGAGTGTCACTGTCCGTGCTGCGTTAGTATGGCTCTTCTCTGAAAGTACACCCACACCCACACCCATGAAGATGATATACGGATGTGTTCTAAACGTTTTCAATAGTGAAGACTTTGTTGAAAAATTTAATTGTTTTAAAGTATTCATAACGAAGTACATAGAGTACTTCCTATTGGATTATGAACGCAACAATTTTCTCCATCCCAAAACATGCAAGAAATACTTTTGAAACTGAATTTTTCGAAAAAAGCTTCAGCAAGATCAGGGTTTGTTCCAAATGTCGCCTGAATATGAAATACTAATCTATTGGAAAACGCTACCATAATATAACACGAGAAATGTGACTAAGAATGCTAGTTTTGATTAATCACATTCTTTCGTGATATAGAATCTTTAGGTATGATCTCTAAAAATGTGTATTTTAAGAAAATTTTCAGAGCATTCTCTTGTTGTAAACGCTTGACGCCCACATTTCTATGACAAGTGCTGGATTACTATTAGGTTTACTTTGTCATCCTGCACACTAGGTGGTAAAGATTCTTAAAACCGAGTTTTGCACACCCACTTAAGGAACCTAAAGTCCAAGCGAATGATTTATTTAAATTCCAGACGTCTCAAGACTATCATTCAACGACGCATTCTATATATTCTTTATCAAGGATCCCAGATCAATCTGTCAATCATTCTGTAGTCGTGCTATAAAAACTATTTCGACTCGTAATGTCTAAAGCTATCTATCTCAACAGATTTTCTATGGGAAAGTCCAATATCTTGGTCACAAAATACGAGGAAATCTGAACTATCTTAACAACAGTGCAGACTGTTACTATTTCATTCATCGATCTTATGTAAATATCATTGTTTCAAATTTTTTTCGTCTCCTAGGCTACATATAAGTTGACTGCTATGATAGCATACTTATTTATGTTGACCGATCTAATAGAAAGAGTTATTGTTACCGCTTTTCGATAATCTTACGTCCACCACTAACAACTCATAGGGCCAAGTAGGTAACATAAGGAAGACTGAGTCTGTTATACATGGCGAAAAAATTTCTCTTCTTCGAAACTGCTGCGAACAATATGAAACAACATAGCACATTGATCCAAATAACACCATCGTAAAGTTGTCTTCACTGCTCTGTATAGAGAAATCGGCGCTTCTAAATTTGGCGCCACTTGAATTTACATATATTTTCCATTAGAAAAAACCACATTCCACTCAAATTCATTCCATTAATGCAATTCTATACTGGTAAGCTCCTAATCTAACCATACTTGAGGAAAACCAGATCATCGATCTATACCGAAAAAGGAGCATGCCGATTTCTATTCAAATACAAAAAAAAACATAAATTTAGTCGTACTCTTTGTCCGACAAGACATAGGAGAAACAGTCAGAAAATTGTCTTTCAGATAACTGCCGAATACTAAACAAGAGCAGGTGATCGAAATAATAAATCTACTAGACGTTTCAGAATGATTGCAAAATTTTATTTCCTAAATAACTCATTAGAGAAAAACAATATAACCTTGAATTTTTAAGAAAAGATTCACGATTAATTTCACCGCAAATGCGGATTTTTCATAATGTGAAATAAAAGAACTGAGTGCTTTTACAAGTCACATAGTATTCTGAGATAAATTTGCCTCAATCGTTCACATATCAGCTTTACTTTTTGAATTTTCCAGAGGAAATATACCTGAATAATATAGGAATTTTGCTAACATGCTTTCTTCCTATTAGACGACACAGTGTGGAGCATGAGTATGCGTATGCGCCTATTCTGCATTTATATCCATACTCACCACATCAATACCATCCATCATCGAAATACCATCACCAACATCATTACCATTAAATACATCATATTCAACTGTATATTAAGAAAATTGAAATGATATTGATAATAACAGCGCTAAATAATTGAAATTCTTTTAGACTTGCACTTTTTTTTAGATATGATGCGGATATGTTGTTTTCGTTTTGGAAATGATTGTTACATTGAGAATACTTTTTTAAAAATTTTGTTTTCATGATTCAACTTGTCATAATAGAATTATTTCTAGACAAACTATATGTATTTCCTTTTTCTTTCATTTTTTTGTACTGCTACTCGAAAACAACAAAAATAGATGTCCATGTGATATTTAGTCCTCACATAATAATCCTTAGCTTTGTATTCACTTAGAATTCAGGGAGTCTGCGTTCCTATCAACCCCTATAGTACCAACAACTATGTAGACTGTCTAAATTTCGTTTAAGCGAAAAATGAACTGAATTGTGAATTGAATGATAAAAGTTAAGTTTTCTGTGACATTTTGTGCATTATAAAGGCATTTGTGTTTTCTAGCTTGTCACGTTACGTTCGTGTTGATTGGTGAAATTTTTCCTTGTTTAAGAGAACTCCAGTTTAAGTCCGCGGATGTCACGATAACTAACCATTAGGCTTCTCATCGTGTGCAATCTGTGAAATGTGTGAACGAGCACTAACTTTGTTACTATCCGATGATACCCTATGGTGTGACTATCTATTCTATCTTTTCTCTCAACCACTTGCCTTT